CCCTCGCCGTGACCCGACGCGTTCACCTATTTCAACAAAATTTCAATTTATTTCCACGCGGCTGTCATTTATTTAGTAACTGTGATTTGTCGTTTTTTAAGTATTTTAAAAGTGATCACTATAGTCTAATGTTTAGAATGTCAAAATATGTTCTCTTTTATTTTAATTTTGAAAGTTTAACTCAGACGATCGATGAAATACAACAGTGTAGTGACGTCCCTAGTAACCTGCTAAATAACGAGATAATTCCGACGTCAAATTACTATTTTGTCCAGCGACAGTGCACAAACGTGCGCCGGATGACGATCACGGTGACCAGTTACACCAGCACGGACATGCAACAAAAAATGATACTATGTGTTCATTATGGTCCATTCCTCCTCGAAGAACAAGCACATAAGTGAAAATTTAGTCAAAGACGAGAAAACTGCACAAGAAATTTGCCTTATTTACACGTATCGGCAATGCAAGCTGCCATGCGGCTTCCCCTTCTGACGTCACAAGGTGAATTTCTGTATGCAAATGAGAAGCTAATGAGGAGCCTCGTTTTAAAATACACAAAATAAAGTTGCCGTAGATTGAGTTTAAAACACATTTTTTCACTTAAAACAAATAATTCATGCTTAGAAACATGAAAATTAATAATATTTATGTATCAATGGATAATTTTAGGCGTGAAAATAACAGCCATTTCACAGGCACTTTAATCACAAATACACAAAAAAGCTATTCGATTTTCGGTGCACAATATTTATTTAATCCAAAATATATAGAAAAGCTTGGTATATTTATATTCTGTTAGTATATAATATAACTTGATCAACTAAAGTCGTATTAGCTGATTGCACGACCATACACAATATTTGGTCATGCATGCACCGTATGGGTCAACATAACATTGTTGATAACGTTTGTTTTTTGGAAGAGGGGAAACCATTGAATCATCGATTCCTGTGAACTATTATTAGAAATACTGTATGTTACCGGGAAAATAACACAAATACTGCCCACCGTTATAATAACTGCGTAAAATACACGCCATATTAGGCTTCAGTGAAATCGAACTGAGTCTTATAAACGGCCACAGACAAAAATAAGTTCGTGTGGAATGTGACCATTAAACAACGAAAATAAAAAGGTCAATTAGATTCATAACAATTTATATAATATCGATAACTTCCTGTAGTGGAAGACAAATATGAATAATCAACAAGCGTGATGTTATTTCCATTCCACGTTAAATCTGTGCCTAAATGAACGTTCTCAGTCAGCGAATTGCGTGTCTAAAAAATCGAATACCGACTGAACCGTGAGGGTTATTTCCTAGGCATTTCACCTAGAAAGTTCTTTATTGTCAAACCACCGCATGCGACGGTTTGTATCGCATCATCACACCGTGACGTGTGACATGATTAATACGAGTGTTATATACATATAATCACTTGTACATAATTCAAATGTAATTGAGAGTTAATTACTAACAAATGTCAATTCACATATGTTAAATATATACCAGACTTGAGAGTATAATATTTCAATATTGTATATTAACTTTTTTTTATGGCGGCACCTCGCTGTATCAAATAACCCAGGTACTATAAACAGTGTTGCCAAGTTCCGATATTTGTCATCACAACTCAAGTTCATGTTCTCGTATTCATGACGCTGTATTTTATTAGCAACAAATAAACGTAAATATACTGTCATAAAACTGTCATGTGCATGCTGCATTCCGCTTTGATTAAAATGCAATCCTGCTGAGTAATATAGGTGTTGATGTGTGCGACGGGAGGAGGGAGGCGTCATGATAGCAGATGGCGCAGCAACAAACTTGTTCACGATAGACTTTGAACCGAAGTTAATCATATTGTTGCAGCGACCAGTATGGTAGTCAGTGTGTTAGCGTTTCTTATATTTTCATATGATTCAGTTATTGGTGACGTATTTGCCAACTGTTTTGTCTCGTTCTTTCATTACCAATTTAGTCATCATTGAATGAGCATCATGAATACCAGCAGCGAGTATATCGATCTTGTCGACAGAAATCCTTGTGTCATCGATGCACGAAGTAAAAATCGCACGGAAATATACACCACGCCGGGTACAGCAGAGCTTCTCTACGATTCCGAACAGATGCTACTAACTCGTATCATTCCAGCTACAATTACATGTCCGTTTGGTATCATACTTAACTGTCTGTTTCTCTACGTAGTATTCAAGGTGTCAGCCATGCGTACACTGACTAATATGTATCTATCGAACCAAGCCATCGTAGACTGTATGTTTCTAAGCTTATACTATATAGTGCAAGTCGGCGAACCGTTGTCAACTGATGTCGTACACGATAAAAGTTTCCTAGGACCGGTTGGATGTTTTATTGTGAACGTAGCTCTCGATATTTGTTTTTTTGTTTCCGAGTTTAACATACTTTTAGTGACCTTCGAACGATACATGGCAATTTGTAAACCATTTAAAGCGGATAGAATCAGTTCCAAGTCTCGAACATACAAACTTATCGTACTTACATGGATCATGGGTTTTTTCTTCTCCGCTCCGATCTCAAGTTTTTATACTAAGTGGTATACTACATGTATTATATGGCCGCCGAGTAACGAGACAGTTTTCCTGCCGATGACCTATTCCAATTGTTTCTCTGGAGTCTGGACACCACTTGATGGCATACTACACAGTTTGACGCCGATAATTGCATTTATTTTAGTGATTACGGCAATTATAGTGCTTAATGTGTTAACGACAAGAGACCTGCAGAGAGGAGTGCGGAAATATTCAGTCAGCGCTCACGATTTGAAACAGAGACGTCGTCAGCAACGGCCGATAGTTGTTATGTTAGCGGTGACGGCGGGAGTGTTATTCGTTTGCCTATTGCCGTATCATTTAGATCTGATCATCGGCTACTTATACAACACAACACATCCTAACAGTGTAATCATTATGCCCCAGGCATGGAATGAACTGGTTCGGTGGCTGCCGATGGTGAATTCCTCAATAAATCCCATTATTTATGGTATTCTAAATAAACAATACAGGCGGGCGTTTATCGCTACTCTGGCATGCTGCCCAAGTAAAGTTTGAGGTCAATTCCACTAAATCCGATTAAAATAATATCCTAGTTGGGCTTCATTTTTTTTTCTAACTTTATTTTTTTTTCAATTCATTATTTATTTGATGGCAGTTTTGCTAATCACGAACGCTCAAATTGATCTGACACAATAGAACTCTTGTTTCATGGTGGCCGATTGCGTGCTCACGCAAGGAAATAATTAACAAACAATTACAATGTACACGAGATAATATCGTGTTGCGTGACGTAGAAATCATTTTGAAGAAAATCATCTCATTCAAAAGTTGGTTAGCGAAAATAGCAGAAAATGGTGGTTAGATGCTCCGGCTAATTTTGAAGGCTTAAATTCCTGTTCTGTCGTCAATTTGTTCTGCTAAGGACAATCTCGAGAATTCACATATAGGCTACTGCTGACGTTACTCACTGCGGCGGATTTATTTTGATTTTTTCGACGTGTTCTTGATCATATTTTCTTGTAAGTTGCACTTAACACGACCATACATAAACTGAGGCTCTCTCTAGCAGGAAAAAAAAATACTTTCCTACGATTTGTCAATAGAAAACAACAATGAACAATGAAAATATTTAATTTCTTTACTTTGATGTAAAAAAGAATTTATTTTAAAAGTAACTATTGTACTTGATTTGCAGTATGCATATTTGATTGGCTGTAGTATTAGTACTTTCTCTCGCACCTCAAATTGCCAATGTTTGAGAAGCGTAACATTTTCGTAGTCTGACAAGAAATCATGTATTAAATCAAATTGGTA